TTTTGGTTTTTTTTTTTTTTTTTTTTTTTCCTTGCTTGCTAGTTGGCTTTTTAATAAAATAAAGCTCAAAAAGGATTTAAAATATCTTAGTGGGGCTGACAGCTGCCAAAATAACATTTCCCAAGTCTGGCAAGCATCACCCTGGAGGTGTGGAAAGCCTCTGCTCACAGGTTGGGCTGACAAATCCAGAGGTTTTCACTGGCAGGCACTTCTGGGCTGGAAGGACCGTCCCGCCCCCTCGGGACGGGCCTCGACTTGTGGCTCAGCAGGATTGGCCCAGACTCCCTGCTCCGGGACATTTAACCCTGAAGGAAGATGCTGCCCAGAGGCAGAGAGAGGAGGGAAACTGAGTGGGACGGTCCAGCCTCTCCCGTGGCAGCAGGTACCCGTGGCAGCCAGGGGTGGTGAGGTAGCAGGCTGGCTCCGAGCTCACTAGCAGGCAGAGAGGCCCTGCAGTGGAATGAAAGGAAAGAAAGGCATCTGGCCCGTGGTTCAACCAGAGAACTAGACATTTCAGGAGTCAGCATAGTAATCCGGGGGATTCGGTGACCATGAGGCTGGAGGAAAAGCTTGAGAAAAATGGGCACGTTGGAGGGAGGCCGGAGCGCTGTCTCAGTGAGGCGCCCCAGGAGAACCAGAAGCCCAGAGCAAACGGAAAAGCCGCCTGCCCTGCAAAGCAGGAGGCAAACGGCAAGCTTGACATGCCCGGGAGAAGTCTCAACGTGTACACCTGGCAGGAGGTCCAGAGACACAGGCAGGAGGGCGACCAGTGGCTGGTGATCAACCGAAAGGTCTACGATGTCAGCCAGTGGGCGTCCAGGCATCCAGGTGGGAGCCGGGTCCTCAGCCACTGTGCCGGGGAAGACGCCACGGTAAGGATCCCTCTCCCCCGTCTCACTCTCTCCTCCCAGATGCAAGGTGGCCGAGCTCTTGGCTGCCTTCCCCAAACATTCAAGTACGTGTTCAGGCTCCAAGATGCTCCTCCCCTCCCAGACCAATGTTTCGGGTTTCCTACCCAGCAAGACTGCAAGCAGTTTAGGCTCCAAGACCTAGCTGTCACCTGCACGGGTTTAGGATGAACTCAGATGTTGACTTTGAATCTGTGTATTCTGGGTTTTGCTTTGCTTTCTTTTGAAATGGGATTACCATCTTAAAAGAAGAAAGCTGGTAACAGGTGAGTAAAATCCACAGGGGAGAAAATCTGCATCCCAAGCAAAAGTTTCCAAGACTTTTATAATTGTAGTGTCTCAAAGAGAGAAAGCCATGCATCCAGTTGTTCAAAATGATAGAAGCCAGCAATGACTGCAACTTTCAGGGTTGGCAGGGTGCTTCTGCTCGGGTAGCAGAGCTGATGCAGCCCATTACTGTGCAGACATTTAAATGCACCAAGTCACAGAAATTTCCCCAGGAGGGAGGCAAAAATTACTCCCACAGCACAGGTGAGAAAGTTGATTGCATAACGTGTCACCTTGCTAGGAATCACAGTGCCGAACTTCGGATTGATTTAGTCACAAAGCCCTGTACATATGAAATCTTTAAAAATACAGTCCCATCTACTGTTTAATAAGGAGGTCTCTCAAACTCTTAAGGGCACTGAATAATGCTTTTGTAAATACCCCATAAGGGTATTTGTTTGGTCTCATCTAGGAATTTTATTTTCCATATTCTACAGATCCAAAAACAGAAAGTTAAGGGGACCAAGCACCTAACTCAAAGACAGAAAATTGATATGCAATGCAACAGATATTTAAGCCTGGGCTTTTTTTTTTTTCTCTTGTACCCATTGATTGCACAAATTGGTGTACTGCTCCTGCAGCTGATTTCAAAGCATAAGACCGGAAACATCATTTTGCTAAACACCCACCTGCAAATGGTGTGTGCTAATAAAAAAGAACTTGCAGGTAGCAGACGTTCTTTTAAATGTAGATTTTTATTTTGTTACCCCCACTACCATCTTTTTCCTCATTTCCCAGCTCTCCTCCGTTCTCTCATTCCTTCTTCTCTGTTCTGATCCCATCTTCTAGTCTGGACTCTGCAATCCAATGAATGTCTTTCTGAAAACATCCTGTTGCCTCCTCACTACTTCTGTAAAATAAATTTTTTTTTAAATAAAGCCAAGCCTTCCCTTAGGAAAATGAGCATGGGCGTGTAGCCATGGGTGAGCGTCTCATGTGTGTTAGGAAAGTTCAGACTGTGTAGAAACCTAGGCACCAAGGGGTAGAAAAAAGCAAGGTGGAGGAAATTTCTGTGAGAATGGGAAAGTAAATAACAAATACAAAATAAAAATGCCACAGACTCCGATTCAGTGCTTCTAACTGCCACAACTCAGAGAAGGTATGGACAAAGCTTCTCAAAGACACAGAATTAATGTGAAGGGGCAAGGGTGGGGCCTTTCAACCTTGTCGAAAGTTACTGATGGCCTCACTCCACTGCAAGCCTAGGTGACAAACCTGCAATTTGCGAACAATTTTTATTCCAGTGAAGTCGGGGCAAGACTGTGTTTATGCAGCCAATTCTATCCAAGGAGGAAGAATTGACCAATATCATAGAAACCATCAGAACCTTAGGAATGATAGTTGAGCCACCTTAGGACTTGTATATGTCAAGGAAGAAAATCATGAATCTGGTAAGCCATGAGAAAAGGCTTACTAAGAGAATATGGGTCAAGAAGGACAGCAGGGCCAGCAGGAGAGTCCTGGTCAGTAGTATACTCCAGGAATACTCAGAGGATAAGCAGTGTGAGCTTGGACTCATTTACGTGAACTGGAGAAAGGTAGTGGAGAGTTCTAAGCCTCCATCCAGTGGTCTGCAAAGTAGGGAGGACAGCAGCCACATGACAGGTTGACGGTGCTTGGAAGGGGTGCAGGTGCAGTGTGAGCACCATTCTAGGCACAAGTAAAAGCCCCTTAGAACAGAGCTGCTTTGTACTCATACCACCAGCTCCATAACCTCAGAAATGTGATTACTTCCTGTTTGTTCAGCATCAGTTTACCATCCAGGTGCTCTCTGGAGCCTTTTGCTTGGGAAGCACGCTACGATGGAGATGCACAATGCTTTTGAGTGAAGGAGGGAAGAGCATCAGGTCAGATGGCCTGAGGTCCAAGGGCGCTCCTGACCTGAACAGGATGTGTTCTGGTTGTGACTAAATAGAAGGTGGAGACCAAAGCAGTCTCAGTGTCAGCCCTGGACCGCGGCCACAGCTGTCCAGATGGAGCCTTCCTCTTATTCACACAGGGTCTCTTCTCCAGACCTCACACAGGTGAAGGGTAACTAAGAGGTCTGCCCCATGGGTCCTTTGTCCATTCCTTCATGCAGTCAGTGGTTCTCAAGCCTTTGTGAGGTAGGAGTCCAACCTAGTGTTAAAAGTACAGGTCCTAGGCAGAAACATTTGCACATGGGCTCCTCATTTCCTAGGACCGTCCTGTGGAAACTTGCACTTGTGTTCTTGGGGTTTTTAATCTAGAAAATGAAGTGGCAATACCCTCACTCTAGTTTTGTTTCCCAAATCAACAGGAATAAAATAAAGCACTCCTTAGGGTGATTGGCACTGATTAAATACTCAGGAAGTGGCAGTTCTTGTGTTTAATTACTATTTCACTTTCCTGAGATAGATTTTAATGTTATTCAGAGAACCTTACTATGAGAAACAAATCTGAGTTGGGCATGGTGGTGCACATCTGTAACCCCAGCACTCTGGGTGACTGAACCAGGAGGACCACAGTTTGAGCCCAGCCTGAGAAATTTAATGACTTTGTGAAACCCCATCTCAAAAAATATAAAATTTAAAAAAGAGAGAGGGCTGTGGACTTAGTTCAGTAGGAACCTCCAGGTTCAAAAGTAAAACATGTGAGTTTTGTCCTTGGCTTTATTAATAGAGTGTATTACATTTATTGACTTGAGTATGTTGAACCATCCCTGCATTCCTAGGGTGAATCCCACTTGGTCATGGTATACAATCTTCTGGATGATTTGCTGCATTGTCTTTGCTAGTATCTTACTGAGAATTTTTGCATCTATGTTCATTAGGGAGATTGGCCTGTAGTTCTCTATTTTGGTTGAATCTGTCTCTTGTTTTGGTATCAGGTAATGCTTGCTTCCAGGAAAGACTTTGGAAGTATTGCTTCCTCTTCAGTTTCACTGGAGTTTCTGAAGTAGTAGCATCTTCTCCAAGCTTCATATAGAATTCAGTAGTGAATGCATCCAGGCCTGGGCTATTCTTTGTTGGTAGGTTTTTAATTACATCTTCAATTTCATTGACTGATATTGGGTTATTGAGAATTTTCATATCTTCTTCATTCAGCTTTGGTAATTCGTATGTATCTACGAATATGTCCATTTCTTCTATGTTTTCCATCTTATTTGGGCACAGGTTCTCAAAGTGGGTACTGATTAAGTGAAATAAATCAGACACACATCTGTAAATATGGCATTGTTTCTCTGGTGTGAGAAACTGAAAGTGTAAATGAGGACCAAAATGTATAATAGATATTGGGAAGCAGGAAGCAAATGTTCAAATGGGAAGGGGAACTAGGGAGGGAGAAGGGGGAGAGGAAAAGCAAAAATGAGAAAAAAAAGGAAAAATGGAAACAAAGCTTTTGTAAATAAAGAGGGGAAGAGAAGCCAAAGGGTGGAAGGGGAAATATGGAAAAAAGAATAATCAAGATACATCATGTACAAGTACAAATTCCGGAGGATGAATGTGATCATTATGTATATATAAAGTATACCAATAAACTTCATTAATTTAAAAAGTAAAATTAAAAGGGCTGAGGATGTAGTTCAGTGCCAAGGCCCTGAGTTCAATCCAAGAAAGGAAGGAAGCAAGGTAAGAAGGAAGGGAAAAAGAAGGAAGAAAAGAAGGAATGAGGGAGGAAGAAAGGAAGAATTTATAAAACAAAATCAGCACATACAACTCCTATTATTTGCTATTGGACGTATAAATTTTCTGGTCTTTTAAAAGTATGTGATTTACAAGTAAAGTCACAGTGCTACTAGGTCCCGAGCCTTTCCATTCACATGAGCTCACTCATGGAAAGCCAGAAGGCCTGTATGTCCAACAAGAAGAACTGATTATAAAGATTACATTATAATTACAGCATGATACGATATTTTGCAATTATTAAAATAAAGATTACACAGCATTATGGGATACGAAGCGAAGTACCTACGAAGTTCACCGTAAGCTTCTGTAAGACAAGAGCACGCTCCAAGCTTCACAAGAAGTGTGAATGCCGTCCCACAAGGGACAGAGGTACTGCTCTCAGCAGGAAGCACTAGGGTCACTGTCCTGCCTGCCTGTCAGTGACGTTGCCTCTGCACTCCACTCTGGAAGGGACCCTGAGAAGCACAGGTGCTTTCTCATGAGTGTCCAGGGTGAGCCTGACAAAGAGCAGGTGACAAAAGCTCAGAAGAAATAAGGCAGAGTCTTTCACCTACCTGTAGAATGCCATGTAGACAAAGGTAGAGCTGTGTGCAAGTCCAAAGGAGAGGTTTCCGTGTTCTGGGATGAGCAGAGGAGACAGAGGAAGGATGGAGGCAGAAGGTGTTGGGTGAGGTCAGAGACGGAGACAGGTGCGGCTCAGGTCATCTGCAAGCATCCAAGCAGCACTGGTCACTTCCTAGGCGTGGCCCAGTGTTGCTCAAGTGCACACGCTCAGTTACTGCTGGGGGAGATCATAGTGTGATGGTGGCGAGAAGACACAGGGAGAGGGTAGCTAGGGAAAGAAGAAGACAGGAGGAAAGAGAGAAAGGACCTGAAGAGCTGAGTAAAGGAGTTTGCATTTTACGCTCAGTGCATGGTGGCCCCTCCTTCCACAATGGAGTATAAGAGAGAGTGGATTTCAAGTCCCAATGGACATGAGGAGGGGCTGTTTCTCCATAGCTCAGCCTGGCAGCTAAGTGAAGAATGAGATCAGGGAGCTGGGAATTGGGCACAGTGGTTCCACCTTGCACGCACAAGGGCCCAAGTTTGATCCCTGGGGAAAAAAAAAAAAGCAAATATGAAAAAAGAAGAGAGATCCAGAAGAGTTGGTCACAGTGAAGCAAGACCAGGACGGAGTCCAGGGAACAAGCTGAAGGTTCAGGGAAAGCACCAGCTACAGCAGGGGAGGGGACAGCAGGGGCATGAAGGAAATCGAGAAGACAGAATATAGAGTTGATGAATAGCTGCATGCATGAGGCCTGAGTCCATCTCAAGACACAAAGGGCTGGGGGTGCAGCTCAGTGGCTGAGCGCCCCTGAATTTGATCCCTAGTCCAAAAAAAAGGAGGAGCAAGTCTAAATTCACTTATCTAATGTGGGCAGCCAGGTGGGGAAATCCATCATGGGGTAGGAGGAGCAGCAGGGTGGGTGGGAGAGGCTTGGAAGGGAGAAGGAAAGCAGTGTGGGGAGCAGCTCTTCTCTGGTGACAGGCATTCCCCACCAGTGGGGCTTTAAATTTATGTTCATTGTTCAGTCTTTTGGGAAAGTTCAGCCACCGTCAGTGAAATGAGTACATGTACAACGTATTGGTTTCTAATTCCAAAGCCTGAGCCCCGAGTGTTCAGGCCAGGGCTTGGACAGATTTCAGAATGACTGAATAAATGCAAGAATTAATGAGCCCACAAGGACCAGATAGGGTTACCCTACATTTGGAGGAGGATGGGCTTAGAGAAACTGAGTGGGTTCCCAATATGAAAGGCTTCTCCACTGCTACCCTCTAATGAGCCTTGGTACTTTGGGGATGGCTGCGCCCCTTAGGCACAGGTTTGGCAGATGGAAGGGATCATCTGCTGGACCTCAGGGAGCACTCAACCTCCTGAGCGTCTGTGTGGCCCGACCTGGATATAGCATGTAAGTTGCAAAAATAGGACCTTACCCCAGGCCTTCTGACTTCTCAGGCTTACCCCTCCCTCAGGATTAGACAGCCAAACAGAAAAGCCCATCACTTTATCTCCTACTAAACAACAGCAAAAATAGCAGCATCTCCAAGGCATTGGTGAAATCAAGGTAATAATCACTTCTTCCCTGCATTGATACTATTTTGGGGAAAGATCAGCTGCTAGAGGAACTCTAGCATCATTTAGGACCAAGCTAAGGAACAGATATGGTGGTTTAGAAGGGAGTCGAAAGCTAACAAGTAAAAGACGGTGCTGCAAAGGAGCAAAATGTCAGACAGTGGAGACACAGAGGACAGAAAGACAGCTGTGCCCACCGCCTGCGTCTTCTGAGAGCAGCGCTGTGGTCATCTGGTCCTTGTCACAGTCTGCCTGGCCCAGTCTGCCACTTACAGGCATGCGTCCGTCACACACCACAGTCCAGGCATTGTGCTAGAAGCTAGGTAGACAGCGGTTAGGTCCCACAGTCCCAGGCTTCAACAAGCTCTCAGCCCTCCAAAGAGAGGAGTTCATGACAAAGTGATTTCTTGAAACACTGAGAATGAAGCATCCTGGTGCAGGTGGTGACCACAAATAACGTTCCTGAACAAGTTAGGGAGAGGCCGGACTCAGTGTGGTCTAAAGAATAAGGAGGGACTTGCGTGGGGAAAGTGGAAGAAGGACGTCAAGGCAAAGGGAGCTGCACACGGATAGCCTCGGACCGTAGAATGGTTTTGAATGAGGAGTGGAGGAGGTGGTGCGAAGATAGGGTGTGGGCCAGCAGGGAAGTGCTCTGCATGGTTAAAGCCTGAGGTAGGAGACACCACGGCCATCTGCCCAGAAGACTTTGATTTTAGCATCGTCTAAAACAATCCACCATCACACCTTTCGGAGAAGAAACACATGTCACAGCTGCACAGGACTTCTAGTTTCATTGCTTTGGAGTTCAGGCCCTGAGTTGAAACCCTGGCTCACTACCGACTGTGGCATTCTGAAGCACAGAGTTTCTCCCCTCTAAGACTCGATGTCTTTGTCCAGCAGAAGCGAAAGAAGCTCACAGAATTGAGGCAATAGCTAGCAGTTGGCCCACAGAGAGGCTGGTATGTAAGAACTACTCCGTGAACAGAGGGCTCTACCCTGTTCTCTTCATTTTTATTCCCCCTCCATCTCCCGGGAGGAACATACTTGCCCAAGAATGTTGGTAGCAGAACCTGTTCTGTGGACTTTCAAGAAGGGATTTCACAACTCACATTCTGGATTCTATTAGAAAACCTTAACTGTACAAGACTAGCTCAACTCCTTAATGTTCCACCCCATGAATGCAATGACCGGTTGCCACATAGGTGTCAGGGCCCCCTACTCGGGAGAGCACTGCAGCTCTCCCTCATCTGTTATCACAGTTTTGACCTGTGCACCTTCCTGGGGAGAGGAAGAAAATAATGCTCTCAGAAGCGTGTTCTTACCAGCACTAGATTACTCTGTTCTGTGCCTTGACTGTGATTTTTCAGGATGTTTTCTACTCCAGACTGCTCTGAAACAACAAGCACAACACGACACTTTCAGTATGACATTCAGGCTTCACTTTCTTATTCACTAAATCATTCTTTATCTGTTTAGGGGGACTAAGCTTTAAGACCATGTGTCTAAAAACATCTTTGAAATTTCTGTGGCTCATAACTTCCCAAGGGTATGGGAAAAATGTGTAGAAACAGAATGGTCAATAAAGCCAGACAGGTTCTAGCAGAAAAAAGCTCTCTCGTGTATCATGTCATCCATAGACCCTCAGGCGAGTCTAGAGTTGAGATTGACCCCACCTCTGGCTCCTGTATTTACTGTATATTTACTATATAAGCACCATTTATAGGTAGACACCTCTATACCCAAAGTTGCTTCAGGATTTGAAAACATAGGATTCATTATATTCCCACTCCACATCAGACATTAGGGTACAGGAGGAAAATCTTTGAAGTTCTGCACTGAAGAGAAAATACGTAAGAAGTTCTCATTGTTAGAGACATGCATTAGGAAAGACAGATAATAAGTATTGTAAATTTTGTATATGTCAACCATTGTCATGATTCATTGATTTATTATTAGTATAAATTAATTGATCATATTATTGTTTAATTCCTCGAAATAGCTTATAAATTGAGTAGTGATCATTAACCCCATTTGGGGAGGAGATCACAGGGCATGGCTGTGACAGGAAAGCTGGAGTTCAGGTGTAGGAGGCCTGGCTTCAGGGTCTGCTTTCCGAATGGCTGCTGGGCAGTGACACAACCCCAGATCACTGTTTAGCTTCCACGTGCTCAGGTTATGACTACATTTCAGTTTCAGTCACTCCCCTCCCAGAGTCATCGTAACACGAAGTCCAGAATCTCCCTCTTGTGGAATCCATCTTCCCAATGCCTGTATGAGTACTGCAGAGGGAAGACACTCTTTAATTCTCAGCATAACAGGAAATAAAAACCCACTGCTTCTCATAGCCCTGTGAAAGGGCTACATAGCAACAACATTTTTATGGAATGAGAGGAGCCTTTTGGGGATAAACTTGACCAAGAGTGGACAGCTTTAAACAACTCAGGCCTCCCATACTGCACCCCCATGGTACCTCATGTCTTTGTCATGAGCCATTGTCATCAGATTTATCCATCCTTCTCTGGACATAACTAAGTCATGGGCCTGGTTCTTCTGGGCTTTGGGAAGAACCCAGAGGGAGCCCTCAACAGAAGATGGAATTCTCATAGCTGCACACCTTAGGGAGGGTAAGCAACTCCCAAACAAAACCCATGCTGGTCTTTAAAGATTCCTCGTGGCCAGTAAACCAAAGCAACTACTTCTCCTGATGCTCAGTAAGATAATCAGTGAAATCAATGGTCCAAGATTGCCTGGCTGCAGGGGCTAGGTCTAGAGAGACCGAATGCTCAGGATGTGGGTCCCCCGCATTCGCCTTCATGGAAGGACCCAAGGGTAATTTTGATGCATCCGTTGGAAACATCAGCCTGGACTCAGAAGCAAATCCTCTGTGGTAGAGTTTGTGCTGGTTCCAGGCTGAGCACAAGAAGAGGTATGAAAGTTAGTCTGCAGATAGTCTGTCTCCTCTGAACTTCTAACAGAGCGCTCTGACCTACAGGACACCTTCAGGGCCATGCACCTGAACCTGGATGTGGTGAAGCTGTACCTGAAGCCGCTGCTCATTGGAGAGCTCGCCCCAGGAGAGCCCAGCCAGGAGAGAAACAAAAATGTAAGTGAGACCTCAGGATCCAAGAGTGTGGAAGCCTAGGGACAAGGTATACAGAGCTGTGGTGCCTGGGTGAGCCCACCAAAGAGTATGAGACTTCCCTCTTCCTTCCAAGGAATATATTCCAAGACTCTCAGTAGATGGCTGGAACAGTGGATAGCTTGAATCCTAAGTACAAGCAATTTGATACCACAAGAGTTGGTGATAACCAATACAAAGATCTAAAGAGGGTGACATTGCTTTGATGTCTGCAGAATCCACTCATTTGCAGCAGCTCTCCTCTGTCCGTGGTTTTGTCTGCATGGTTTCAGTTTGAGAAGAACAGCAGGGCAGTGCACACAGCATGGATGCGTGGACACAGGAACGGTTTCTGCCCCAGGCAGGCAAAACAAGAGGGTGGTGAAAGAATCCATCATGTACCCAGAATAGTGCCCAGTGCAAAGTTGATCAGTTGCTCCTTCCTGAAATTTTTCTATTTAATATTTCTGGACCACAATTAACAGAGGGTAACTGAAATGGTGGGAAGAGAACACACAGGCCCCGGGGACTGCTGGAAATGATGGATTCTGTGCCTCTCCAAGCAATGCGTATTTAGATCCTTAGGAATCTCAGAGCTCTGTGAAACAAAGGAGTGGAATTTCCGGCCCTGTGTTCCACAGGAATCCTCCATCTCTGAACACCTACTTCATTCCAGGCAGCATACATACATTTTTTTCAGAGTCCCCTGGCAATTACATGTTTGGCATCTACACCTCTGTTCCCTGCTAAACTAAGTTCCACGAAAGCAGAGAATGTGTCTCTCCTGATTACCCTGTTCCTGCAGACCCGCAGGAGGCACAGAACAGGAAACCCAAAAAGAGCTGCCGAGTGGAGGATGCAATTAGGTTCCCCCCGTGTTCCTCTCACACTTGGAGACATTATCATTTTTGCAGCATAAATTACTTTCTGGAGCTCCAACAGCTGTTTCACCAAAACAATGCAACCAAATTACTTCTCCCAGTCCCAAGCTCTCCAGGATTCCCAAGGATGGACACCTGCCTTTCATTGCTCTTGGGGTTACACAGAGTACCATCTTCTGGAGAAGGAGACACTGAGCTGGTCATGTCCAGGTCTGAGTCTAACACACTCACTCCTTTCTCTGACTTCCTCCGTGCAACCGTGATTGGCAGACTGGACTATGAGGGCAGATGGGCTGAGACCATACCCCAACCCTGCCGCTCTGCAACTGAACAGGTTCGGGCCACACCTCTCCATGGCTCAGTTTCTCTCTGGGTAGAAGAGCAACAATAGCACCCACCTCATAAGAGTTACTGAGGAGGTAATAAGAAAGAAACAAGGATTAAGATCATTGCAAGTACTGAGAGCAGAGTAAATGCTCCATCAGTGGTAGATGCTGTTGTTACCATGAAACCAAATGGTGGTACTAGGAACTTAAAAACTTCTGGATATGTCCCAGTCCTTTGGGGGAGCTGGCTCAAGGCTAAAAGGGAAAAATGAGGCCGAGTTCAACTGATACTCCCAAAAAAATGCCCTGCAAGGAAAATAAAAGCCTAGTGATGGTGGAGAGCTGTGAGATAATCACTGGTCTCCGAGGGCCAGCACCTACCGTAACTTTCCTTTCATGCATCTGTGTACTCAGGTCACTATCTAGGGACAACTGGGTGTCAGAGTCTTGGGCTGAAGTCCGGCATCTGCCCCTGCCTGGCTGATTCCCATGCCAGTCACCCTTCTGGGTTCCAGTGACCCGATACTCCGGAACAAGCTATGGGTTGGAAAAGACAGCCAGGCTGGGACCAACCCTAGAGATGACTAATTAACATCAGACAGTAGTTAAAATCATCTCGGGCTGCCAGAATTCCAAGGTCTACCAGAGATTGAGAGAAAAGCCAATCGGGACTTTGGGGAGCAGGAGGTCCTTTCAAAGTTGTATCAGCAAAACCTTCAATGAGAATCTGGCTCCTGGCATTGCTTTCCTAACTCTTTTTTATTCCGTTTTTCTCTTTTCTTACGGTGCTTGTTTGTTTTGTCTTGTTTTTGGTACCGGGAATCGAACTTGGGACCTTGCACCTAGGAACCAGGAGGCAGAACCACTGAACTAAATCGCCCATCCTTACCGTTACTAATTTTTCTCACAGCCTGGTCATTCCTCAGCCATCCTGGCTTCAAGCCCATTATAGTTATTAAGGCAAAGGGCGCTTCTCTCAGCCCTTGCGTGGATGAGGCAGCCTTGCAAGCCAGAGCTAGCGCTGTGCATGAGGCACAAACGCACAGCATGCGCGCCGGGCGACTCTGACCAGCCAACGCGCATTCATGCCAGGGGCGCCCCTGCCAGTTCTTGGAGTCCACGGAGAAGCTCTCAAAACACCTGTCCTTGGAGCAATGTAAGCGGGCTATGCTGTCCTGTGCTCGCCCTTCTCCATGCGAGGCCTCTGTACACGTCCAACAGCACTAGCAACCCACTGCAAGAGTCACACCGGTTACTATGGTGACACTGATCCGCGTAGACCGCCGAGATCCCGCAACACAGCAGAGCTCAGCGAACGCCGAGGCGCACTGACGGCCTCAAAGGCAACCGTTACGAGTGGGCCTCTCTAAAATGATCCTTCTCCCCTTCCTGAGTTCCCCAACTAAGAAACAAACAAACAAAAAACCATCACCCCTTTTCAAATATTTCATTTATTTCTTCATTGTTTTTTGTTTTAATTCTGGACAGTTAAATTTGTTCCTACGCATGAAATCACATTGATCACATTTTAGTACTGTTAATAAAATAAGTTCCTCCTTGGGCTCACTGCATCCCCTTGCCCCTGAAGGGACTAACACTCTGGGATGTCTCCTTCACAGCCCCAGCTGGTGGAAGACTTTCGAGAGCTGCGCAGGACACTAGAGGCTCTGAACATGTTCGAGGCCAACGTGGGCTTCTTCCTTCTCCACCTCGCCCAGATCCTGGTTTTAGAGGCCCTGGCCTGGCTCATCCTGTGTCGCTTTGGCAATGGCTGGACTGTTACCGTGTTCATTTCTGTTCTTCTCACAGTTTCCCAGGTAAACAGCTGCGCTGAGCAGGGCTGTGGCCCCAGGCGGAGGCTGGTGCTGCTGCTTCTCTCTTTAGATCTCTGTCAGCAGCTGCCTGAAGCTTGTTAACAGGCAGGGCTGGAAAGTCATCAGCAGGTTACTAAATTTATCCAGGCCCAGGTTCTCCAGGGTCTACAGCGAGGATACCAATGCCTGTGGAACTCACGTGTACCAAACCTACCTAATGCAGTGCCTGATGGAAAGGCAGCTGCTTCTGTTTACCCTGTCTGATTCCTACAGTTTCCGGAATTAGAGTTCTGTCCTTGGCTGTGTAATATGAGCCTCTGTCATTCATTTATGAACCTACCAACATTTGCCAAGGAAGGGGCCTGTGAGTTCCTCCAGGTCAGAGGCCACATCTTGGTAGATGAGAATAGAAGCACATGAGCTCCTTTGCAAGTGACCCACAGAAGCCGGTGCTCAGCGGGGCCCTGGTAAGTCCTTGTTGAAGGAATCTGAAGGGGTCCCTCTGAGCAGAAGGCAGGGCTGTGGATCTGAGGGAACTTCGCATAGACCCCACATGCGAGAAAGGAGTCACCAGGAAGAGAGGTGGTCACTGAGCTGTGAACACTGTGGGGCACACACCGCCGCTGGAACAGAAAGGGCATTTAATTCTCCCCAGAACACCGAGCTACACGGTGCTGTAGATAATTAACACACGTGTGTTTCTGCCTTCCCGAATTTTTATGTCATTTTTTTTCCTTGAAAATCAACTTGCTTTATTCTTCGGGAAGCACCTTTTGGAACCTGAAAAGGAAAAACACCTGTGCATTTTAACACTTAGCGTGAGCTGGACTCCTTACACTGTGCATCTGCCCACAGGCCAGGGAGTCGGTGCTGCTGTCCCCAGGGTCAAAAAGCTAACTTGGGCCTCGGCTACCACGGCTGGAGTTGAGAAAGACCCCCAGATCTGACTGAGCCCAGAGTCTGTGGACTCTGCAGTCCACGCTGGGAGATGTGGATGAGGGGAGGAGAACATTCCGGGCTGGGAGGGAGGCGAGCGAGAACATGACGTGTGCATAACTAAGCACAGTGGAGGTTGGAGGAGACGTGTGCTGTGCCCCACAAGAGGGCTTGACCACTTCTCCTGACTTCCTGCTTCTCAACAACTTTGTCTCCCCTAGGCTCAGAGCTCGTTTTTGCAGCACGACTTAGGACACCTCACCATGTTTAAGAAGTCCACATGGAACCATGTGATGCATAAACTTGTCATGTGCCACCTCAAGGTACGGGAGGGGGCTGCCCATGCACTGTAAAATCACGAAAGGGAATATTCTTAGGTGGGATTGGCCTTTTTGCTGGGAAGTCCAGCAAGCAAGACTAGGGTTAGAAGGGTGAAGCTGAAGAAGTAAATGAACAATGCAGAAGAACAGGTAAAATAAGAAGCACTAACAGGGGAGGCCAGATGTCTCTGAGGAAGAGGCAGATTCAAGCCCCAGACTTCTGGAAGAAGCACGTAGTGACGGTGGCAGCTGGTCTGCCGTTGTTTTTTTTGTTTGTTTGTTTTTTTTTGTACTGGGGGTCTAACTCGGGACCTTGTGCTTGCAAGGCAGGTGAAACCACTGAGCTATCTCCCCAGCCCTTGGTTTACACCTCTTCACGTGAGCTCCAGTGTGCATTAGGCCTTCGTGTGTTGGCTAAACTGCTGCGTGAAGGTACGAATGAGCCGGAGCAAGGGCACAGGATGCTGGGAGCTGCTTTCAGGGATGGCTCTGACACCACTCAGTGTGGTCTTACGTAAACTGTGTTTTGCCTGTGGCTTTTAGTGTTACCATCTGCAATATTAAGAGTTAAGCAAAATATCTACTCTTCTGTAACTTTCTAGGAGGTGTGACTGTGCCCCTGGCCCAGGCTGCTGAGCTTTCCATTAAAACAAATCCTTACATTCAAGGAAAAGCTCACAGGCGCTGTCTCAGAGCTCCTTTCTTCTTCCAGAGAGTTTGTCTATTATTTTAAAGATCAACAAACACAAAGAAAAGCAGGTTATCTGATTCACCAGCCTACAGCAGCTTGGAAGTGGTCGAGTAATAAAGGGGTGAGGACAGCGCTGGAGACTGGCCCTCAGCCAGGAGCAGAGGCCGCAGGCAGCCAATGACAGGGAGGGAGACAGGCGGGAACTCCCACCAGCCAAGGGCCTGCTGAGTGCCGAGTCCAGAGCCATCACCTTCAGGCTCCTGTAACTGCCGCGGGGAGGATGAGGGCAGCCCTAGTCTTGGTGGAGATGATCTTCACAGGGCAAAGTAAGTGGAGAGCTCGTGGCCTTGTGTTCTACAGCACAGGCTCCATTTCAGCTCTCACTTGGAGGCACCTGCAACATTTAAACAAACACGGCTCCCTGGCTCCATCACCGCTGTCCCGATTAAATCCATCTGTGGTGGGATCTGGGCGTCAACCTGTTTGGGAAAGCTCGTGAGTGAAGTTAATTGTAGCCAGGGCTGAGCAGACTCCTACAACATCGCTGTCTCCCGTGGGAACTCAGCCACCACCAGCTGAGCCACTTTGAACATGTTCCTGGCTGTGTGTGAACCCCAGTTTCTCCAGCTGCTACATGGGCAGTGGTGAAGGAGGGCTTCCACCTGTCGGGTTGGTGTTAGCACCACATATGTGTAATCCCGTGTGTCATGGGTAGCGCAGCCTGGAAATGCTTAGCAGTTGTCTGCTGTTACAAATATGATGCACAGCCCCTTCCTAATCAAAGGGAGGAGCAAGAATCATTAAGAAAAATGTTCAACCATGCTGGTGTTCAGGAACAGGGAATTAGACCATAAACCACAGCATCACTGACTTGCAAGATACTTGTCACATGCCCTTGCCTGCTGCCTTTTCCATTAAGCAGATTGTGGCAAAAGTAGATAAAATAACAGAGCACTGGAATTTGGGTTCCATCTAGAGATATGCGTGGCCCTCAAAATGGTCAGGATGAATAATGAACAAGTGACAAATTCCTCCTAATCGGGCAGTCCCTGCAGAGACACTAGTCCACCCTCTGTCCACCCCTGCTAGCCCCGCAAGTTAGGTGGTTCTGGTCCGGAAGTACTCCCCGTAGGATAGAGGCAGAGGCAGTGACCTACACGAGGAGTCAGGCAAGGGGGATCTACCCTACACGCAGCTGGCAGTTGATCCAGTGCCCGTGTGTGGAATATTTCCAATCAGCCCCACCCTTGCTGGCACTTGGGAAAATCAGTGCTTTCCCACGAGCCTAAATCTAAACAGTGCTCTTTCTCTAGAGTCCCCAGAAACAATTTTGTCCTAGCTGAAATGAGTCTAACAAAATGAGAACGTGCTAGATGGCTCGTAAAGCAAAGCTGGAGTCCTCTGACGTTTAGCAGTCAGAGCCAGTGATTCATGAACACAATGAACAGGCTTCATCTATGTGCAGAAGAGAAAATTACCCACGGCAGGGAAAGCTGGGTGGAGGGAGTTGACAAAGGAAATCAGAAGCAGCAACATCCTGACTTTTACACGTGTCACAACTTAAAATTTCAAAACTTGACTTCATGGAATCCTTTCCTTCACCCCAAAGAAGGCACAGATATTCGTAAAATTCTCTGAGATGTTTCACTCAGTCGCTATAAAAAGACATGAAAGTTCTGGTCTTTGAGCTATAGGCACAACTAAAAAAGCACAGCTGAAACAAAACATCTTGGACTTTTGGAACATTCTTAATTTGAAAATTCAAAATCCTAATCACTCCAAAATCCTTAAATTTTTGAGAACCAACAGGAAGTCACAAGTGGAAAATTCCACACTGTCAGACTTTGTTTCATGCAAAATAATTATTTAAAGTGTGTAAAATTAACTTCCCTGTGTGGGTAGGGTGCATATGAAAATAAATCCCATAGTTAGACTTGAGGTTCATCATCACCATATCTCATTTTGTTATGCAAATATTTCAAGATCCAAAGATATTTGAAATTCAAAACAGTTGTAGTCCCAAGCTTCAGATAAGAAATACTTGAGCTATAACTGAACTCAAAATGAATCCCTCTAGTGTAGTTTTCAACCCCTATCCCCATCCTCCAACAAACAAATTTTGAAGATAATATGTATTAAGTGCTGCTATCAAGATGATGAGCAGAGGAGGTGAAATTAAGACCTCCCTAAAACTTTCAGTAGCACAGGAAGGCGGAGTCCAGCACCCTGCTTTGTGTACCTTCTCGGTAACCTCACCCCTAAGCAAACTGCCCAAGTCACACTCCTGAAGTAGAAGGCCAAACGGGGATCTAAATTCAAGTTGACTTTGGTCTGAAGACCATGTTCTTTCTTCTGCACCAAGAAAGGAGCTAACTTTGACCTGAGAAATGGCTGAGGACACGCAGGCCAGCTTGCAGATGCTGACCCTCACTTGGCTGTGAAGTATCCTCTTCCTTGCCTTGAGAAGAGTCTTCTAGACAGAGGGGCCCAGCTGGAGCTGGTTCCAGTTGTTTCAATCACACCTGTCCTCTCCTGGCCCCTGCTCTAAGTCCTTGTCCCACTGAGATCCCTGCTGAACGACCAAGAATCAAATCCTGTGTCACCAATTACCACAGGTAGACCTTTGCTAAAAGTATGGTCAGCTGGGAGAAGAGGCCAAGGTCTCGGTTCTGGGAGGACTTAATTTTAAAAACGAATCACTTATCACATCGCCCTTGTTTAATTCTCTGCTGTTCCCATTACACTATACGTTCCCAGCTGTGGGAATCCCACTTTATCGTGGCTGGTTTGACATCACAGATGTTTAGCACAGCATACGACAGGCAGGGCACACTTCAAAGCAACGAATGGATTAATAAATGCACTGCATCCACAATGCGGAGGGGGACAAGTCAGATGCAGTTTGGTGGGAGAAGCACGGAGGACAATGGACTTAAGGCGGGAATGGAAATCCACGGGGCAGATCTGACTTTGAGATACTGTGAGATATCCAAAAGGAAATATTTGGAAAGTGGCTTCCGTTCTGGCCTGTGATTAGGAGAGAGAGTGGACACCACTTTTCCCAGAACTAATGAAAGACTTGGAGCTGAGTCTTTATATGTAAAACAGAACTAATACTCTCTGCTTCTCCTACCTCCAAAACTCTTTAGAAAGAGGATCAAACAAGAGAAGAATGGAAAAAAATTCATTTCAGCCAGTTTTCATATTTTCATTACCAGGAGTTGTTTTAGCCTGAAGCTCCCTTCCTGTATCCAGGGATTATTTCTTCACAAGCTATGACAGCCTGCTGTCTATTGAGTCACTCTCTGGGCCAGCAGGGAGACAAGGCCGAGAAATTCAAATATCCTGACTTTTGAGGAGGCCTGCAGAAAACTTGGATTGTTATGGGTACTTGGAGAGCAAATTCTTTTAGCTGACCATTCCTCTCTTCCCTTCAGGGCATGTCTACAAACTGGTGGAATTACCGACACTTCCAACATCACATAAAGCCAAACATTTACCCCAAAGACCCGGATATTGACGCGGGCCCACTGTTTCTGCTTGGAGAGTCCCAACCCGTCAAGGTACGTTTAAGTGTCCCAGATCTGGCTGAGAGTTGCTTGAAGCGATACCTAGAACGGCTTCCTTTCTTGTCTGCAAAGATCAAGATGAGCGTCTGGCTTTACACACAATCTGAGAGCTCTGCTTTATCCTTTACGTCCAAGGATACAGACTTTAAGTCATGGCTCTGTGATCCTGAAGGTCATCCAGTCCAGCCTCCTAGAGCAGGTGATATAACCTGTCACTCTGTCTGATCAACCCCAGGGACAGGTGGATCCTTGCCCAGAGCTATTCACCAGTCCTGAGGCAACATAAGTCAATGTTAGAAAATGGAACCGGGTGACCAAGGATGGTATGACTCTCCAAAAGCCAGTGAGGACACAGACAGGTGCTTGCTGAGACAAGAAAATCAATCTCAACTAATGCTGGTCCCATTCGAACACACGACGCTGTTATCTTTAGTTTATATTCATTTATATGTGGTTACACAGCTCTAATACTTTTCCTCAAGGGAAAATGACAGATCCCAAGAGTCAGGTCCTCAGGAAGACAATGATGTCTTCTAGCAAAACTTGACTGTCAAAAAATAGGACTTCACTTCTGTCAGCTGTTGCCTGACCCCATTTGGTTCATCGACTGAAATTTGTGGACCTTTTAAAAATGAGTTTTCCCAACTTTGGGAGACATGGCCTCTGCCCCCCACCCCAGATGGGAAACAGAGTCTTCTGCTTGTATGTATTATTTGAAGTTGTTGGCTTTGATCCCAGTTAGTTGCTTTCAACAAGAGCTCCATAAACATGCTGTGCTTTCCTGATGTTAGTGGACTTCTGCATTCATCCCAGAATTGTAATACACTGATGTCACTGATGACCCCCCCGCCACAAAGCCAGGAGCCAGACTCTCCCGGATGTGCCTTCTAGACAGTGTTGCTTTGCACACATGCTGTGTCTTCACGAAGGGTGAAAGCCACCTCTCCAGCTCCCCGGCTGCCCTTGGGGACACATCTCTGAGACTTGCTATAGCACTAAAGCCACTCTACAAAGTGGCACTGAAACTTATTCATGCTCTAGAGTTCAGTAGGCTTAGCTTCAAATACATTTCTGAGGGGTCCTGAGCTTTTCTCCTCTTCCTTCTTTCCTGACAGTTTTTCTAGTACTTTCCTCAAGCATCAGTTTCTTAATAAGCATTGATTAAATCTTCTGTTTTCTGCGCTCACATCTGGCAAGGCTTAGAACCCTCCTAGGGTTCTCCTGATCCATCTAGGTTTGTTAACTCCCCAGCATTTTCCACCTCGTCCGTTTTCCTTCTTACTTCTTATATACTTGGAGTTCAGGGAGCAACTGAAAATGGTTATTACTTCATTGCCATATGGCTTTTTATTTGTGCCATTCTTTTAGAGGAGGGAAGGACAATTACACTGTCTAAATAAAAGGAAAACATCTACACATAGGAGGGAAGATACCAAACAGGAAAACCATGACTCCCTATTGTGTGGAACAGAGTAAGTGTAGAGAAATGTAGACTGGCTGCAAACTATCACTCATTCCTTCATTGGTGAGCATTTCCTGTGACCGCTAGATACAGAGACATCACTGTTACTTCTGTGCCTCCTCTCAAAGCACTTGCAGTCTGTGTGTCCTGAACACCAGCCATACTACACAAGTGAAATCTTAGCAAATGAACTATCCTTGGTAGTAAGGCGAATATGATTATATTATCATAGAAGCAAAAATCTTAGAAAATACGTGTAAGTGGTCTGTACTACCATCACTGTGTGTTAGTAAGTCACCACGTCAGAGCCATGAGAAGAACAAAACAACAAAGGTGGGACAGACTCGGGAGGCCACGTTTCTTCCTTACATGACCATTTCATAAGTAATTACTTTCCTATAGCTGGGACTATATACCCAACACTCACAGCTTAAAGGAAAGGGAGTTTATTTCTCTCAGTCCATGGTTGGTGGCTCCAAGGCAGAAATAGCATAGTCGGAAGGGCATGGTGGAGGAGCTGCTCACTTCATGGAAGCCAGGAATCAGAGAGAGAGAGAGGAAGGAGCTGGGGATAATACCCCTTCGGGTCATGTCCCAGTGAGCGCCTCCATCCAGACCTCTCCTGGTAACAGCACACTGGCTGCAAACTTATCACCAGACCGATCCATCAAGAGTAGAGTGTCCCCTGCTCCAGTAATCCCCCAAAGCCCCACCCCTAAAGAACACATGAAACTCTGGGGGACATTTTAGATCTAAACCATAGCAGCACCCTTCGGATGAAATAAAGGAGCCTGGGCTTCAAACAGAACCCTGACACTACAAGCGAAGAATGTCAAGAAAAGCTCTTCACATTTCCCCTGTGCAGTTTCCTTCCCACGGCACACAAGGAGGATGAATTTCAAAGTGATTTCCACATGAATTTTTAAAAAGAGATCAAAATCCTCATAGTAAAACGGAATGATCCATCTGAGAAAGAACTGCATACATTTACTCAAAGCAAAAAGAGATGCCACGGTGATGTTTACTCCCATCCCAGTTCTGGTTCTTCTAGTAATTTAGGTTTGACAGCCAAGGAACATGAATCAGATGACTACATTTATAGAGATTTCACACACACACACACACACACACACACACACACACACACACACACACAGTGAGGACCAGAGGTATTTTCTTATTTTATTTTTATTCTCTTTCCATTCAGTACGGCAAGAAGAAAATCAGATTCATCAACTATGAAAAGCAGCACCTGTACTTCTACATGGGTGAGTCTCCCAGACCCACTTTCCCTGTCATTTTATTTCCCTAACACATGCAGTTGTCAAGCCAAGTGGTGTGATCAGACTCGTCTTGTAGGGACCATCCTGTCTACTGTCACTGGGAACATCAGCAGGTTTTTGTTCAGACTCATCTATGTGAAAAGAAGAATGGAAAAGCAAGTAGACATTTTTCATAGGCATCTCGTCCCTCCCAGGGCCTCTGGACAGGGGAGAGAGGGAGGACAGAAAGGAGGGAGGAGGGAGGGAACAGAGGAGATACCTGTGAGGGCTGGAAGGCACAGCGTCAATCCAGAGGGCCTACGTCTGGGACTTGCATCTTGGAACGGCTGAATACGATCAGGAGCAAAGAATACTGGTATTGTACAGAGAGGGAAAAGAGGTGGGAAAATAATACTGAGGCATTTCTAGGGTGTTGCCAGAATGAGTAGAAGCCAGGAGTGAAAGTCACCCTTCCAGCTTCTATGTGGAGGGAAGCTTGCTGCTCCCACGATCTTCCTACAGATCTTGAATATATGAGATGACACATAAATACATCTATCTTCGTATGTGTATGTTGGCCAAGAATAAAAGCAGATAAGCTTCTCTGAGCAATTCTGATACCACTGGAAGAATATCATAATCAAAGAATCTTTACCCTGAACCAAAATCAATCTCATGAGAGTTCACAAAGAAAGGTTTAAGGGATTCGTAAATCTGCTCACCTAAAGTATACTTGCACATCTGGGAAATAAACCAAAATCAAAGAACCAACCATGTTTGCAGACCAGTGATTCCCAGTTGGGAGGTTTCCCGCACAGGGACACTGACAGTGTCTGGGGACACGCGGATGGGGTGGTATTGGCATCCTTTGGGTAGAATGCAAAGATGCTGGCAGAGGTTTTACATAGCCCATAACAGAGAACCGTCTCACCCCAAGTTCCAGCTGAGGCTGGGAAACCCCTGCAGGTGATGGGAACTGCGTGTCTGTGGGCCCCCGGTGACCACCAGTGAGGTGCTACGGAGCTCAGCCGCCACACACTTTGAAATGCACCACGGATCGGCGCTGCCTCTTCCACCCCTGGATTCGGTTTTCCCATCCTCTGCTCATTTCCTGACCCTTCTCTTGCAAAACCCAGCACAGGAACAGGGACGTTGGGGCTTCATTTTGAAAGGAAGCCGACTGCACTCTACCTGAATATGTAGATGCACAAGAAATCATTTATTTTGGTGAACTCTTGGGAGAAATGTGCCTTTGTCTCCCCCTCTCTGCAGTGATGCAGTTTGCCCTTAGTGTACGAGGGATGAGCAGAGGGTGCAGAGCCGCTGCCGAATGCCCCCCTCACAGACCCCTCTGCTCTGAGAGCCGCTTCCCTGAGTCCTTTTCCTGCAGATGCCAGTTTAGCACTTTGGGCACCAGTGAGGGATAATTCAAACCATCCCATAGAAACAGAGCTGGAAAGTTGCTAAAGAGATGAAGACCGTTTACATTCAGGCTTGAGATTAACTGAGACAAAGAGTGGGTGACAAGCTTTGAAATGCCTGGGCATGCTAAAGAGTAAACCCAAAAGACACCGAGAGACAGGACTGGGGCGGGGCTTTGGTCAGTGCGACTAGGTTAGGCCAGCGTCTGCGGATGAACGCTTCCGGGTGTCGGGCTCTGACCTTCCCACAGAGGCTGGGAGACTGAAGGATGGAAAGGCCCCTAGGACTCTCGTAGGTGGACGATGAATCTCAGAGAGAGAGAGAGAGAGAGAGAATTTACGACTGTAAGTTCCTAAAATAATAAATGATCTAAGAAAAGGAGAATCAGGCATCTACTCCCTTCCGTGGTCGGGCTGGGAGCGGCGAGTTATGGATATAGCCGGCTGCTGGCTTGCACTGGGGCCGCACTCTGCTTATCTGTGGTACCTTTGTTACCTTTTTCAGTCGGGCTCCCGTTCCTCATGCCTGCATATTTCAATGGGCAATCCATGCAAGTGATGTACCTTCGGAAGTACTGGGCGGTGAGTATGCGACGCATGGTAGAAACTGGACCACGCAGGAGAGGGGTGGGGAGGCTCTTGGTGCTCGCCAGATGTATTTTCCTGGAGGAGCAGGATGGGAGGTTTTAGGCATTGCGTGAACAAACCCAAGTCCAGGGAAGGGCGAAGGAAATGCTTCGGGCCCCTGACTTTTGAGTGCTTTTTCTTGCAGGACATTGTGTTCGTCAGCAGCTTTTACATCCGACACTTCATCACGTTTGGCCCTTTCTACGGGATTTTTGGAACCTTGATGCTCATATATTTGGTCAAGTAAGAAAATGTTTTTACCTGCGTTCCCCAGATGGTCCTCTTACCTTCCTTGTCAGAGCTGTATGATGTCAGGGCTCATGCTTGGAACTGAGATATTTAAGGAATGCAAAAAGAAAAAAAAAAACAATAGCTGAAGTAGTTGAACAAGACGAATTAATTGCAAAAAGAATTTGCCCAATCTCGTCTTTCTATTGTTGTTTATTCACAATTCCTTTACACTTTCATTTAGCTAGACACCATAACCTCCACCAAGAGTCACGATAGGACCGCTTATAAGGCTCACTTTATGACTAGAGATGTTTTTCCCCAAACCAAAATGACATCAAACCATCATTTAGCCTAAAGAGCCCTCTTTGACTTCCCAGTTTCTTATGCCTCATTTTGCTCATTATTGTTGTAAACCCCAAATTACTCTAAGGATGATGACAGCTACTCTGCACCAGGCTCTGTGAAAGCCTTTACATGCATTGTCTGGTTTGATGTCATCCTGGCACCGTCCAGCAATACAGATAGTATCACCTTCACATTCCTGCTCAGAGAATCGAAGCTTGGACAGATGTAACCACCTGCCTGATGCAATAGAACACGTAAGGACCAAAGCCAGTGCCAGGATAGGACTGGGACCCAGCTCTCCCTGATGATAGGGCATGGGCTGCCAACCACTTTGCATGTGCTCTTGGAGAACCTGATGGTTTTTCATCCCTGCTTTAGAGCTACAGAACTCTTTGGCAGCTCTGCTCCTATGAGTTAGGACACAGGGCAAACCCAATGGCTAAATGTCTGTGTGTCAACTCGAGACTGAAAGGCATTCAAAGAGGTACCAAAAGATTTCCATTTTACTGAAACCTTGGAACTTCTTTTGTTTGCTCCAGTTTGGGGCCAGTTCTGTCCAAGGTTATGCAAGCCCAGCAAATGTAACTGTAGCACCTTCAAGAGTCATCACTCCCTGTTTCTGTTCCCCAAAAGGTTTCTTGAAAGTCCCTGGATAGCATATGTTACCCAGATGAGCCACATACCAATGAGAATGAGCAAGGAGGAGAACCGCGACTGGCTCAGCACTCAGGTAAGGATGGAAATGCGCAGGGAGAGCCTTTCAAACCGGGCTGACTTAGGATCTGGTCACCTCACACAAGGATAACTCAGCTTTGTAAGGTGCTCTCCAGGGCCCAGGCACTGTGAAGCACTTTGCAGTAGAAACTGTGCATATTCTTACTTTACAGGGTTATAATATCAAGCCATGAAACGGTCCAGTAACGTATACAGGGTCACACAACTAATCAAGGATATAAGCAGTCTTATACACAGGCCTTTGATTATAGAGACATTCTTCTAAACCACGAGCCAGTCAACTACAATTCAGGAGCCAAATCTGGCCCACTGCTTGTTTGTGAAAATAAAGTTTTATTGGGACATAGCCATGTTCATTCATGTACACATTATCTGTGTGCTTTCATGCTACAATAGAAGAACTATCTCTGAATTACAATATTTATATCTGATACATTGTACAAAGGATTTGATGACCCCTCCTCTAACCTGCCACCTTCCATAACCTTTTGAGTGAACCTGAGATCTTAAATTTATAGAATGTATCATATACCTGTAAGGACCGCACTTCATTATACAGACAGGGCATTGCAGAGAGGGCCCATCTCTCCGAACATGTTAACACTTACAAAGTTCTGATCAACACAGGGCAACCCCACCTCCCGAGGCCTCACCCTCTCCACTGGCTCTGCTGTGGTGACGAGGGAATCCAGTTTGTGTCCTGTTCCTTCTCCAACTTCTTACCCAAGCCCCTGGACCCCCTGTAGGATAGAGAGGGGTGCTTCTCCCACATATTCATCATAAACCCCTGTTTTTATCTCTTAATTTCCATTTATCATTTATTTAATCTTTGTGAGGATAATTTCTTTTCAAGTATTTATTGGCTTTTTATATTCCTTTTTCTGTGATGTGCTTGCCAGTGCCCTTAAAATATTGTTCTGAGTATGTGCGCATTTTTTGAGTTTTAGTAACTCTTTGTAGAGTAAAGATACAAACATGTTGTCTCTAACATATGTTATGAACACTTTCCTAGTTGCCTTGTAATTCTTTCATAGAAGGGATTTGTTAATATTTCACCCTGTCTTGCTTACAACATCCCTGAACAAATCTGTTGCCGTGAACCACTTAGCCTTCTTTTTCCATTCATCTTACCTAGCAATGATGCTGGCGTGGAGTTAAATTAAGAAATTTAATTAAAATAACGTGTTGCCATATTGTGTTTATAGCTAGTACAGGAAGTTAAAAAAAAAATCCCTCCACCAACCTGCCAGAGTCCTGGTCATTCAAATGCTCTCCACATCACGGACTGGCTAAAAACAATAAAAACACTCTACAATCTTAAAAGTTATTGAAAACTCAAAGAGCTTTTGTTTATAGAAGTTGTATGCATTGAGGTCTATACTTGAAGTTCAAAATGAGAAATTTTTAAATATGTGTAAATTAATTTTAAAATAATAAGATTAAGCTAATACATATTAACTTCAGAGGGACAGTGCCATCTCATGCTTAGCCTCTGGAAAACTCCACTGACAAGCGTGAAAAAATGAGAATGGGTCTGGTGTGATGGTGCACACCTTTAATCCCAGCACTTGGGAGGCTGAGACAGGAGGATTGCTATGAGTTCAAGATAAGCCTGGGCTACATAGTGAGTTCCAGGTCAGTCTCAACTACATAGTGAGACCCTGTCTCAAAAAACAAAAAAAAAAAAGAGAGAGAGAATGAAAAAGGAAAATAATGTATTAGAAATCTTATGGAATTCATTTTGACCTGGTAGATCCCATACATACCCCAGGTTGTCTCAGTATTTCTGAACTACACTTTCACCTGCACTAACATAGAACAACCACAGACTGACATTCAAAATGGCCACCTTCCAGGAAAAATTAGATCATAAAAGGGCACTGAATGAATGAAATGTCATTTGTATGAGTTCTTGGTCTTAGAATCTGGAGAAATCTATGAACTTTCACTCCATACAATTTTTTTTAAATGCATAAAATAAAATGCATGAGATTACAGAGGAAACTGTCTGTACTGGAATGTGAGTCTATTCACAGAAACCCCTGGTCAGGATCCTTGACTACCTCATTCCTCATTCGGAAGTTCTTCAAAGCCACTCTGGAAATGATAATCAGCCTCTATCATCTCCACCATAGGGGCCGGGGATTTAGCTCAGTGGTTCTGCCGCCTGCCTCAAAAGTGCAAGGTCCTGAGTTCAATCCCCGGTACCAAAAAAAAAAAAACAAAAATCCACCATAACCCTTCAACCCCATTGCCACGTGCCAATGTCTTCATTCGCAATACCACAATCTTTAAGAGTATTTAAGAGTCAGTGGTGACTGTTCTCTCTCACATTCTACACACTCTTTTATAGCTGTTGTTTTATAGCTATTTGCTTCTTAGCAAAATATCTTGTTACCTATTTAAGTATCAAATTATGGAGACTTGGGACTGTCCACCATAATCCTCATAGCTTCTTTACACAAAACAGGTAGTTCAATATGCATGTGTTGATGGCTGACTCAATAAGAAAATAAATAAATAAATTGTCTGACACTTGGATTCGTTGATATCTGATGCAAGTTTTTTCTTTGCAGGTCTTGGCCACCTGTAATGTTGAGCAATCTTTTTTCAATGACTGGTTCACTGGGCACCTGAACTTCCAAATCGAGCACCAGTGAGTCACTGAAACCATCAGTAGCGGGGAAATGACAGTCATATATAACAGTGTTAAAAACAGTCCAAAGTAGGGTCCTTCAGCTGAGAACCTCAGAGGAAAAAAAAAGTAATCAGGGATCTTTAACATCTACTACTTTGCTATTAGCATCAGTTATGAGGGAAGGAAGAAAGAAAAGAAGGGAATATAACAATTGTCAGAAAATGAAATAAAATCTTAGAAAAGAACTAGTAACTTAGGTTTAGCTACACAAAATCTTAGAATTTGCTGATTTGTTTTTTTCCTGTGCATTTTGGTTTGTTAGTAAAACCCCAAGAAAAATCACACTATTGGGTAACTGAGGTGTGTTGAAATTCAATTACAATTTAAATTAAATTTCTACCACAACATTAGAGCAACATTACAAAATAATCAACAATGAAATCCATTCCCTATGTAATTTGCAAATGGTAGCTGGCAATACATTAAGCAATGGGTCGATTAAGTAAACAAATAAAAAAAGAGAAAAGGATAATACTTGAAGATTCTCTGTGAATACTCAGCAGAAACACTTGCCACATCTTTGTGTAGACCATGTCTGGGAGATTCACAGAAAGAAAATATGTATGCTTGTTGGTAAGATTTGCTATCTTTCCTTTTATATTAGTCTTTGAAACCTCAGCAAGGTAAAGAAGAATTATCATTCACGTTTTGTCAACTGTTCACAATCCTAGAAAGTCACCTGGCTGATTAGTGAAACCCTTAGGATAAGATTAGTATCTTCTCATTTCTTATTGCTCACCTAGAACTTTGCCCCATATAGACCATGACCTGTCCTTAGTGAATATCCACCTACTGGTGAGCAAGAGTTAGACTGATTGATAGAAAGAAAGAGAAACAGACAGAGTCAGAGACAGAGGGAGGCAGAGAGTTATCTCCAGCTCTCCTGGGTACTTCCAAATGACAGACAACCCACACTTTCATTTGAATTTGCCAAAAGTAAATGTGTTCAAAGGAGTTGATATTTGTTCTAATTGTCATTTCCCAAATATTTGCCACCTGTATGACCCCCAGAGGTGATTTGACATAAAATGAGAATGCTTGGTAAGAGTCTTTGACCTTCCCGGGTTTGGGCCAGGTTAAGGCTGGATATGCATTGCTGAAATAACTTTATTTGGTGATACAGGAGAGAGATTCCCCTCCAGGTTTTCCTTAGGGTTCTAACTTCCACGTCTGCCCTCTGTTTCCTTAGTCTCTTCCCCACCATGCCGTGCCATAATTACCACAAAGTGGCCCCGCTGGTGAGGTCGCTGTGCGCCAAGCACGGGCTGCAGTACGTGAATAAGCCCATGTTGACAGCGTTTGGAGACATCGTCAGGTAAGGGCACAGATGCTCTGGGGTCTCACACTGCCTCTCACCGCGAGCCCCCAGACCATGTACTGGTGACTCCTTCTTCCAACAGCCACTCATCGAGGAGCATCCATGTGCCCGGCATGAACATGGGGATCTACAGGGGCAGAGACAGCGGCCATTATGACCGCAGAGATGTCATTACTCACTGCACCCCAGGCACTCCTAGTGAAAATGTCCTGTCCCACATATTTCAGTCTACTTGAAACCAAGGCTGGCCTCATGTGTCTTTGTACCTCCGACCCATCCATGCCAGGCCTGCTTTCATCAGGTCCCTGTCTCGGACCCTCCACAATGCCCTCTCCTGCTCTTTCCTCCAGACAGCTGGGCAGCCATCCGTGGCTACAGATCTCCCTGCTTTGGCACTTTTCCTTTTCCTAGAACATCCTTTCACATCACCACCTCCCCTCTGTTCCCTGCATCAATTTCCATTCCTTCTCCAAGGCTCATCTCAAACTCCTTTTCTTCATCTTGCTCTTCTCTGATCTCCAAGACTCCATCCATCACATACTGTGATGGTGCCCAGTTCTCCCTTACTGGGTGATAACTTACCTAATACATGGCTACCAGGCTAGATCATGAATCCCATGCAGACAGGACCACATCGGTCTTCTTCATGGCTGTATCCTCTGAGTCTAGAAAACTCTTCCTGATAATACAGAAGGATAAGTAGGAGACATAAGATAGGTTGGTTTACAGGGATATGGGCACAAAATGAGTAAAATCAGCACAAAACTCAGATGTTATCCATAAAGAAAAAATGAACTCCATAAAAACAATTCAGTGTATTTGCATCCTCCACTGGTCAACAGATAATGATGCAAATAAGATATGTCTGGAAACGACACAGCCCTGAACCAGGCAGAAGAGCAAATGGACCGTGGAGAAGCAATTTCTCCACGAGAAGCTCACCTCTTATTTTCTATTTTTATTTCTTCCCCAGGGCCTTGAAGAGGTCTGCCGCCCTCTGGATGGATGCTTACTACGAATGATGTGGCACCAGGTGGTGGCCCATTGTATCTCTGAAGTTGGTTGGTGAATGTGCACGAGGTCCTTGCTGTTTAACTGGGAATTAACTGGCACCACTGGCACACCCACATCTGCCAAGAATGTGAACTTGAGGACACGTGTCAACCCCTCCCCTGGAGGCTTCACAAGCAAGGGGCAGAAGAAGCACAAGATGACCCTGGCTGGGTGGCAAAAGGGAAATGGGAACTCACTGTTTTTACTTTTTCATTGTGATCGTGAATTTAGTCTACCAATAAACCTTAGATCACCTCACTGAAGAGGCATAAGTACAGGAATGAGGTAAAATTTTCCCAGAGAAAATGGACACAGGAGGAAGAAGACCAAAGGAGACTTGTCTGATAGAGTATTTTTTAATTGAGTTTATTGGTACATTCTAGGTATGCAGTACAGTTACATTCATTATTGGGATCTGTACCTTTACATGACAGGTCTTGGTTCTCATTTTTCCCCTTGTCCCGGCCCTCCCTTCACCCCTCCTGCCCTCCCTGTTTACAAACACTTTATTTCCATTTTTTCATTTTCTCCTATTTTTTTCTTTTCCCTTATTATCTTTCCCCTACCCTTCCCACTTTCCCTACACCTTTAAGCCCTTTTCTTCCTATTTCACATTGTCAATTATCTCATTAGGTTCTTACGTACTATGATAGTTTTTCACACCAGAGAAACTATTTGGTATTTACACATGTGTGACTTATTTATTTCACTTAGGAGTATATCCTCAATATGTATCCATTTTCCTATGAATGAATCTAATTTCTCATTCTTTATGGCTGAGTAATGTTCCATTTTACATGAAAACCACATCTTGTTTATCCACTTTCCAACTGATGGGCAAATGGGCTGTTTCCAAGTTTAGCTATTACAAACTGTGCTGCTGCAAACATGGGTGTGCATATATAACTATGATATGATACTTTTAATTCTTATGGAAATATACCCAGCAGAGGGATGGCTGGGTCAAATGGAACCTCTAGTCCCAGCTCTTTGAGGTATCTCCATGTTGATTTCCACAGTGGTTGCACCAGTCTGCACTCCCACCAGCAATGGAGAAGGGTTCCTTTCTCCCCACAACCCTGCCAACATTTGTTACTGTTTGATTTCTTGATAGCAGCCATTCTTTGTAGGGTGAGGTAGAATCTCAGTGTTGTTTTCATCTGCATCTCTCAAATGACCAGTGATATGGAACATTTTTTCATACATTTACTTGCTGTTTTTATTTCTTTGTCTGAGAAATGTCTGTTCATTTCAGATGCCCATTTTTGAATTGGGTCTTTATATTTGGGGGGACTGATTGTTTTGAGTTATTTATATATTCTAGATAATAGTCCTTTGAGGAGCAGCTGGTAAAAATTTTTTCCCATATTGTAGGTTGTCTCTTAGTTCTGCTGATGGTTTAGTTCTGCAGAAGCTTTTCAATAAGAGGAGATCCCAGTTGTTGATTCTTTCTGCTAGTTCCCATGCTACTGAGGATTTGTTCATAAAATCTTTTCCTATGCCAATGTCTTCAAGTGTTCTGCCTATCTTCCAGCAAGTTTAGTGTTTCTATTTTAATATTTTGATCTTTAATCCACTTGGATTTTAATTTAGTGCATGGTGAAAGATAAGGGTCCAGTTTTAATCTGTGGCAAGTTGAAATCCAGTTTTTCCAACACCATTTATTAAAAAGGCTATCTTTCCTCCACTGAGGATGGTCAGCTCCTTTGTCAAAGATGACATAGCTGAGTACATCTGGAGTTTTTTTGTGTGTGTCTTCCAATCTGCTCCACTGATCCTCAGATCTGTTTCTTTGCCAGTACCGTGCTGTTTTCTCACAGTGGCTTTGTAGTATAGTTTCATATTGGGAATTGTTATACCCACTACCATGTCTCTGTTGCCTAGGATGGCTTTTGCTATTCTAGGTCTCTTAAGGTTCCAAGTGAATTTTGGGATTTTTTTTCTAGTTCTGTGAAATATAGTGTTGGCATTTCAATTGGCATTGCATTGAATCTGTATAGCAGTTTTGGTAGTATGGCCATTTTCACTATGTTGATTTTTCCTACCCAGGAGCAGGGGATATCTTTCCATTTTCTTATATCCTCTTCGATCTCTTTTTTTGGAGTGCTGTAATTTTCAGTGTAGAGGTCTTTTGCTTCTTTTGTTAGATTGATTCCTCGATATTTCATTTTTTTGGATGCTATTGTCAAAGGGATTGTTTCCCTAATTTCTCTCTCAGTGAGTCTATTATTTGTGTACAGAAGGCTATTCATTTTGGGGTGTTCATCTTGTATCCAGCTGCTCTACTGAATCTGTCAATTAAGTCTAGAAGCCTTTTGGTGGAGTTTTTTTGGTCTTCAATGTAGAGTATCATATTGTCAGCAAATAATGACAGTTTAACTTCTTCCTTTCCTATCTTTATTGCTTTAATTTCCTTCTCTTGTGTAATTGCTATGGCTAGTGTTTCCAGAACTATATCGAAGAGGAGTGGTGATAGTGGGCATCCTTCTTTTATTCCTGATTTTAAAGTGAAAGTTCTCAGTTTTTGGCCATTTAATATGATGTTTGCTGTTGGTTTTTCATAGATAGCCTTTATTAAGTTGAGATATAGACCATCTATTCCAATTTTTTGCACGGTTTTTATCATGAATGTTGAATTTTGTCAAATGATTTTACTGCATCTATCAAGAGGATCATATGGTTTTTGTCCTTGACTCTGCTAATAAAGTGTATTACATTTATTGATTTATGTATGTTGAACCATCCTTGCATCCCTGGGATAAATCCGACTGGGTCAGGATATATGATCTTCTTGATTATCCTCTGTATTCTGTTTGCTAGTATCTTATTAAGGATTTTTGCATCTATATTCATTAAGGAGATTGGCCTGTAGTTCGATTTTTTAGTTGCATCTTTCCCTGGTTTGGGAATCAAAGTGATACTTGCTTCCAAGAATGAATTTGGAAGTATTGCCTCCCTTTCAATTTCATTTAAAAGTTTGAAGAATAAAGGTAATAGTTCTTCTCTAAATTTCTTGTAAAATTCAGCAGTGAATCCATGAGGACCTAGGCTTTTTCTTTGTTGATAAATTTTTAATTTCATTTTCAATTTCACTGATTGTAATTGGGATGTTTAAAATGTTTTTATCTTCTTTGTTCAACTTTGGTAATTCATAAGTATCTAAAAATCTGTCTGTCCATTTCTTCTGTGTTTTCCATTTTATTAGAGTACAGGTTCTCAGAGTAGGTATTAATGATCCTCTGGATTTCTGTTGGATCTGTTGTGACTTCACCTTTTTGATTCCTGATTGCATGGATCTGAGCCTTTTCTTTCCTTTTTTTGATAAGGTTCACTAAGGGTTTATTGATTTTATTTATTCTTTCAAAAAACCAACTCTGATTCATTTATTTTTTGTATCATTTTCTTAGTTGCCATTGCATTGATTTCTGCTCTAATTTTTATAATTTCCTCTCTTGTTCAAGCTTTGGGTTTTTCTTGCTCTTGTTTTTCTAGGAGTCTGAGATTCATCATTAGGTTGTTTATTTGAGCTCACTCTGTCTTCCTAGTGTGGGCATTCAGTGCTATGAATTTTCCATGTAGAACTGCTTTCATTGTGTCCCATAGATCTCTGTATGTTGTATTGGCATTTTCACTTATTTTAAAAACTGTCTAATTTCTTCTTTAATTTCCTCTGTGACCCATTGATTGTTCAGGAGAGTGTTGTTCAATTTCCATGTGTTTATGAAGTTACTGTGGTTTCTTATGCTATATCTCCAGCTTGATTGCACTATGATCTGATAATACACAGGGGATAACTTCAATTCTTTTGCATTTATTCAGACCTGTTCTGTGAGCTAGTATGTGGTCTGCCTTGGAGAATGACCCATGTGCAGCTGAAAAAAATGTATATTTTGGTTTTGTGAGGTGGAACACTCTATAGACGTCTATTAAGTCCATGTGTTCAAAAGCTTGGTTGAGTTCTAGTATCTCGTTTTTTATGTTCTGCCTAGATGATCTGTCTATTTGTGAAAGTGGGGTATTTAGATCTCCCACAACAATTGTATTAGTGCTTATTTTGTTTTTCATGTTACTTAATATTTGTTTTATATAGTTGGGGGCACTAATATTTGGTGCATATATGACCATGATTGTCATCTCTTCCTCTTGAATTGTTCCCTTTACAAGGATGTAGTGGCCTTCTTTGTCTCTCTTAATCAGTTTTGGTTTGAAATTTACTTTGTCTGCAAATATGATTGCTACCCCTGCCTTTTTTCTGGGCTCCTGTCACCTGGAGAATTGTTTTCCATCCTTTCACTTTCAGTCTTTGGGCTTCTTTTTGCACCAGGTGTGTTTCTAGTATACAACATATTGTTGGATTTTGCTTCTTAATCCATCCATCAGTCTATTTATCTTGATTGGTGAATTGAGGCCATTGACATTGATGGTTATGACTGATATGTACTGAATTATTATCATCGTGTTATTGTCCTTTTGTTGACTCTCTTTAATTTTTTTTCCTCTCCTTTTAGTTTCTTGCCTTGACTATTTGGTTTGCTCTGTTGGGCCTCATGGTGTTGTGACCTTCATTGTCTTTTTCTAGGATATTGTTTAGAATTCCTTGTAGTGCTGGTTTGGTGTTCATGAAGTTTCTCAAGTGTTCTTTGTCATGGAAGTATCTTATTTCCCCATCCATTTTGAAAGAGAGTTTTTCAGGATAAATCAGTCTAGGTTGGAGGTTGTTTTCTTTTAGGACTTGAAATACCTCACTCCAGGCTTTCCTTGACCTGAGAGTTTGTGTTGAAAAGTCTGCTGTGATTCTGATGGGCTTCCATTTGAATGTGGTTTCTTTTCTCTTATTGCTTGTACTATTTTGTTCTTTTCTTTTGTTGGGTTTCTGAGATCTTGATTATTATATGTCTAGGAGTAGATTTTTTTATCATGGATAGTTGGAGTCCTAATGCCTCACTTATCTGTATGTCTAATTCTTCCCCTTTGTTTGGGAAGTTTTCTGTCATTAATTCTGTGAACAGCTTTTTTAAGTCATTTGTATTTTCTCCTGCTACTTCATGGATTCCTATCAGTCTTATATTATTCTTCTTTGCATCATTTAGGAGTTGTTGCATTGATTTCTCATGATCCCTTACTGTTTTTAAGAGACCTCTCTTTTCACAGTCACTGACTGCAATCCTATCTTCTATATCTGAGGTTCTATCTTCACATTCTTTTATTCTATTGTGAACACTTTCAATAGAGTTTTTAATCTCCTGGATATGTTTGAGTCTGTTTTATGTATTCCATTTCTTTCCCCTGTTGGGCATTCATTGTTTCCATTTCTTTCTTATGCTGGGCCTGCATGGCTTCTATCATGGTCCTGAGCTCATCTATTTTTTTTTCT